GTGTTATTTAAGAGATGTTTAATTGTTTTGAAAAGTGAATAAAAGTGAGAAAGATTCTGCAGCTCTGAGGAGAGTTTTAGTCTTCATGAAGTTTAGATTCTGAACAGCTGAAAATGTTGAACCTGTTTCAGTTTTAAAGAAGTTGAAAGATTGAAAAACAAAAATGAAACCATCTGAKTGACAGGGTGTGACATTAGATTTCACTTCACAAAAGTATTGTATTTATACTATTAAATTGTTAAAATTTGCAAAAATTTCATGTTCATAAGCATAGGTTTCCTTGTAAATTGCCCCCTTTCAGAACTGATTGCATTTCCTCTTTGCCTATAAAGACCTTGACTTTTACAAATGCTTTTTTGTTTGTTTTTGTCTTTGTTTATTTGCTGTAATAACCCCTGACCATTTGTTATCTAATGTTTAATGCACGTGTTCAGTAAAAATGAGACACAACCATGCTATTGATTGCTATTGATTTGATTGCATGTTTTTTCTGTACTTTGTTAATTTGTGTTACAAATGAAATGAATAAAGAACTATTTCTGTAAGTTGTAGATTTGTTCCAAGTTTTTGCCCAATATTTGCGCTACATGTTAGACAAATAATGCAAARAGAAACACAAACCAATATTCCTTAGTAGCTATAATGTGTTATTTTTACATGACGAGTTTAAAAACAAATTCTCAACATGCTTTATTTTAGTCAGGCACTGTTTAGGACACACCCACTGCGGGTCCGCAGAGTAGATTMCCGCGGTGCATGCTGGGTCCTTCCTTTCCATCCCAGACTCGCTACTGCAATKATGGGTATGTGTAGATATTTGTCCGAAACTGTCGGAAATTTTGTCCTTGTTGACTAATTTTCTCATCGATATTGTACATAAGCATCTTGTGAACATATATTTGGCCGTGTTTGATGGTAAACAGCTACGGTAAATTAAAGAAGTCATCTTTTTTGTCCGCTGAYTGTGTCCGCAACGTGGAGCGAGCGGCCTGATGTGTTTTAGCTGTTAGCATCGTGTTAGCGGTTGTAGTATATTCAGCTTAAAATGTAAGTTATTAATTGTTTGAATAACGTTTAGTCTAATGTGTCATAGAGGGATACGGTAAGGCTTATAATTTAATGTTGAACTTGTAGCGGGGTTGATTACCGGTGTTAGCCGGGTTAGCTTCGGGTTTATTAGCACTATTGTCATCACATTTCCAGGTTAGTTGCGGTAAAACGTGATATTTCAATGCAGTTTCGTCGTGCATAAGATGTAATGGTAAAGCTGTTGCAATAAATGTTGTTTTTTCCGTACTACCTTTTAGAAAAATAAAGATGTCGAGTCTAAACTAAGTTGAATAATTGGCTTAAAATCGTTTCTTGTATGTCTTCTAAGAGATTACTTTAAATTTGCATTTATAGAACTAAACTGGGTTATATCTAAAATAATTCCTTGTATTAATTCATGCTTTTAAGACTTTCCTTTTATCCAAACAACATTTTATTATGCATCTTTCATATCTTTCTGTTGTCTTTCGTGCAGGAAAGTGTCGTGGTCTGCGTACCGCCAGGAAGCTCCGCAATCACCGCCGTGAGCAGAAATGGCACGATAAACAGTACAAGAAGGCCCATCTGGGAACTGCCCTGAAGGCTAACCCCTTCGGAGGAGCCTCTCACGCCAAAGGAATTGTCCTTGAGAAAGTGTGAGTACTGTGAAAACAAGACAGTTGATCATGTCCTGGGCACTTCAGTARTAAGTTTAACTGGAGAGTCTTTAAACTGAGACTAAAGATTTCTGGATAGATATTTTAGGAGCTGCTGTATCTGTATTTTAATTTATAAGAGCTGGTGTTTTCAGTGACATTTGTCAGCATTTTCCCCTCTAACTTTAGTTTGTTTTTGTTTGGCAGCGGTGTGGAGGCTAAGCAGCCCAACTCTGCCATCAGAAAGTGTGTGAGAGTTCAGCTCATCAAAAACGGCAAGAAGATCACGGCCTTCGTTCCCAACGACGGTTGTCTCAACTTCATTGAGGTAAACATCAGCGCCACCTTGAATAACAACACTCAGCCACGTGTTGAATCAGTATTTCACAGTTTACTCACATTAATATTTCAATTTGTTGTTGACCTTTTTTTTTTTTTCTTCCTGCAGGAAAACGACGAAGTTCTGGTGGCCGGATTCGGTCGTAAAGGTCACGCCGTGGGTGACATCCCTGGAGTTCGCTTCAAGGTGGTGAAAGTGGCCAACGTGTCCCTGCTGGCGCTTTACAAAGGCAAGAAGGAGAGACCCAGGTCATAAACAGCCGAGGCAGAAAATACAAATAAAAACATGTTTTGAATTTCACTCTGTTGTCTTGTGGTGTTTCTGAAGACGCAGCAGGTCCTGCAGGAGGCTCAGGTCAGGTTTGTTTTTGAGGACAAASCTTTATTTGTCTGTTTAAAGGTACAGATATTTAGATTTTAAAATCTTTAATTAAAAAACTTAAAATCTTTCCAGTCAGTGGAGCTCTTATCACAACCTTTAAATAAATTTAACAAAACATGTTCTGATATGAGAAGCTTTTTTTTTTTTACCAAGTTAAAGCTCTTTTTTCCCCATTTAATTAAAAAAAACTCCTGTTATCTTAATTCATCTTAAACATTTAAAATAAAAAGTTCAAAAGCCTGCTATGTTTTATTTATGTGAAATACTGTTGGATCAGAAAAAAAATATGCAGACTTAACCCTCTGTAAACTACTTATTTTTAATTATGCCTGTCTGATTATCAATGTATTTTACAACAAGCATATTATGATTATTACAAAGGTTTGGGAAATCCTGATTATTTCATGGTGAAAACTTCAATATCTAATGCTTGTATCCACCCAGGTGTAAATTATTCTGCTGTTTCATGGTTTGGAGCAACAAATTTCAGATTAAAACATTAAAAAGTTGTGTTTTTTTATCTCAGGGTCACTCTGGTTCATTTCACTGCATGCACTCCAGTGGGATTAAATATAGTAACAGGTGTCGTATCTCAGTTCGTCCTGCCAGAAATCTGCAGCTCAAACACGTCGACTCTGCTCTCTGTTAGCCTGCAGAAAACACATGTAGGTTATTCTGATWAACTGACGTCCTCGTGGGTAAACCCTGTGTTTGTTGGAAGTAATGCTGACAGAAGATCTGGGAGGCAGAGAACAACGCGCTGGTTTCTCTGAGCACTTCAGGCCTCAACAACTAATCTGAACAGAACAAAACCACCTGACAGGTAAAAAACACAACTTATGACAAAAACTTCTGACTGTTGATCCAGTGGCTTTTCCAGACACTGGTATTTCTTCTCAGGTTTTGCGGCTGGATCGGTTACCATGCAGTCAATAGACTGTTCTCTGGCCACCAACTTCACCAGGGAGTCATACTCTGCCGATGGGCTTACCAGTCTTACCACCTCGGTTCTCCATTCTCTTGTTGTGGCCAGCCACCAGTTGACCCATTCCGCTTTTTGAGTCTTCTTTCTGGTCTCTATGGGGTGCTTTAATACAGCCAAAATCACCCCATCCACC